GATTCTTTAACATAAAGAAAGATTTCATCCTGTATTATTATTATCCAAAGGATAAATCTCTTGAGTTGCAACATACAAAACTCACCGTTCAAGATGTTATAAACAAAGTCTTGTAATACAATAATGTGAAACGTACAATGTACTCGTTAATGTAGTTCAGAAATACACTCTGAAACTTACGATATACATCCCATCATCTTTGAGATGGATCGTTTCAGAGTACATACCGGAGCTTAAATCTTCCATACAGCAATAAGATTCCAAGAACTCCACACATCATTAAAATTCTATAAATATGGCTAAAGTATAGAACTTATCAGTATGGGGGTTGTGGATATTATTATGTTTTTGATTGAGATCATGAACCGATCGATATTAGACCACCGTTGGAAACCTGGAAGTACCGGACGGCTGTTTCGTCCCATTGCGGGACTCTTCAGAAGTGCGATCCACGACCCCACTCGTGGGGTTCCAACCCAGAGCCTTCAGTCTCGCGTGCGAACACTTAACAAACTGGACCACTGAGCCGTCATTCAATCGTGATAGTGTCTAAAATCAACCAATCCACGAAATTTTGCGACCATCTTCCATTGTACTGAGGTAGATACTTGTCTTTACCTGACACGGATTAGCTCCACTAGTCACGGCTTGTTACTAGAACTCCATGAATTCCCTCACGAAGCTAGTCACTGGTGAACACATATTAATTATCAGTATAGGGTTGTGGAGATGATTCAGTTTTTGAATGAGATCATGAGCCGATTGATGTTAGACCACTTATTTGAAAAAAACAACGTAATAATCATGATACTACTCATAACTATCTGTGTTCAGTTGACTGTCATGTTTATATTCATTTACAGATCTTTTATATAATAATCACTTATTTATATTATACTCAATGTAATTCACTGAAATGTGTTCATAGTTCATTGAATGGTTACTTCATGAATACTTAAATATACTTTGAATAGATCTACGAATATCGATCTTCTTTATAATTATTCAAGATATACTATGTGTTATAACTTTTGGTTTTGTGCCCCATATCAATGTATAATGTAATGATGCTACCAATTAGAGAACAGTGACTTATCGATCGGATCAATGATACATAAACCTATATGAGCACACTATAGTCTTTATCGGTCCCTCTTTCTGACTAGCCCTACTTACCAGTCAAGTCCAGAACACCAATCTCAGCCTCTGTGATATCAATCCTGCATTTTAAACATACTAGGCATATATAAACCAGCCAAACAGACCACATCGTACCACTGTTATATCCCGATAACAATAATGAATGGTAATTATTGGGATCCAATTATGGACCAATACTAAACGTTTATTTTGACCGAGTAATTGTTATGTAACTAAACTGGTCATATTCATGTCTCTCTCATCATAAGCTTCATTTTAACATATAAACTATTATTATACGATTTACCATTCTTGAGTTATACCCAATCTATTAATTACAGTCTCTCACATTCACAGCCACTTTTGGCTTGATCTTGTACAAATGTTGTTTCATGTTTTGTGGTACGTTGTGGTCTGTCTGGTTGGTATATAAGCCCCGTATGTTTGAAATAAATTATTTATATTGCAGAGGCTGAGATTGATGTTCTGGACTTAACTGGCTGGGCTAGGCGGAAAGCAGGACCAATCAGAACTCGAGGCTGCTCGCAAGTGTTCTTGATACGATCGATAATTCACTGCTCCCTAATCGGCGGTTACAAGTTATAACAACCATAAAACAGAAAATACAAATTTACACAAGATTTAGCCAAAAGTGGCTGTAAATGATGGAGACTCTCATTAATAGACTGGGCGTTACACAAGAATAGTAAACCGTATCATAATAGTCCGTAGGTCCAATAGTTGGGATCATGAGTCAATTGAAGCTAGACCACCACGAGAAACCTGGAAGCACTGGACGGCTGTTTCCCTCTAATGTGGGACTCCTAAGCAGTGCGCACCCTTGACCCCGCACCTCTCGAGGTTCGAACCCAGGACCTATCAGTCTCGCAATAGGCGCTTAACCAACTAAGACCACTGAGTTGATCGGTACCCAACAATGTTAATGTCTAACTTCAACTTATCCACGAAATTGAGCGACACATCCACATGCACACTGTTGAGGAGTCCCACAATAGGATAAAACGGCCCCCCACTGCTTCCAGGTTTTCCATGGTGGTCTAGCTTCAATTGACTCATGATCTCAACTGTTGAAATTACTACAATCTCCACAAAACCTCTTTCTGATAATAGTCTATAGATCGAAATAAAGCTTATAATAAGAGGAACAAGAATATGCATATTGTAGCTACTTAACAGTTATACAATAAGAATATATGCATAGTATCAGTCCATAAATAGATCCCAACAGTTACCATTCATTATTCTAATAAGGATATAACACCATGGATAAATGATCATTGTACAAATGTTTTATACTTATTTTGAACTTCTTAGAACTTTTCATCCACAATATCAAAATTTATACAATGCATGACTTGGGAGAATTCAAGTGAAAATCTAATCATTCAAATCTAGTCTAATCCCAGTATAACATGGTTCGTGTAGCAAAAGTATCGAAATTGAGAAAGTTCCATAGTGATCATAAAGCATTTTTAAACTCATTTCTAACTAATAAGAAGGGCGAAACTCGAATTTATGGACGAGCCAATTAGAAGCGTTTGAAAGATTTCAAGGTCACGGCGCCAACCCTGGACACAGGTTTCGTGCAACTTGGCACACGTCAACAATGTACACTTGTAATCTTGAGAGAACATCGATTTCAGGGTTTCCAGTAGACTACCTCCAACCACCATTTGAAGGTAAGTAAGCGAAAAATTTGTGAACCAATGGATGTTACATCACTTCCTGTAAAGTTTCATACTTCATGCAAAAGAAGAAGGATCTATGGATTTCAATTATTATTAACTCATGGATGAATACTTCTGATCACCATTTATCCATCATAATGTGTAGAGTCAAGTAATGAACCTATTCTGTTCAAATCTCCTTTATTCTGATAAAGGTCAGACTAAATTATAAATATTCTTGATATGTGTATGTCGGCGTTATAGTTGGCAGTTGAATCAAGGACATGAGTTTCCTTCAACTTGAAACTTATTAGCTATCTATACCTGGAACTCAGTGTTTATCTTATCTTCAATATGATTAAGTCATTTCAACAATTGTTTATTTCCCTGTTTAGATTTATTTAGAATACATCATATTCCTCCACAGCTCAATTTCGTGCGTTGGTTGATGTTAGATATTAACACCGTTGGATGTCGGCTCAGTGGTGTAGAGGTTAAGAGTTCTCTCGCCAGTCCAAAGGTCCTGAGTTCAAGTTCCGCGGGGCAGGATTGTGGATGCGTACTGCTGAGGAGTCCCATAGTAGGACGAAGCGGCCGTCTATTGCTTTCAGGTTTTCCATGGTTATCTAATTTCTTAAATTGTTTACTGTGAATAAATGTTGATTAAAGTTTTACAGAAATAAATGTATATATTTAAATTATTGTAAGTAGCATAAAACGTTTTTTTGAAATTATCAAAGCGTTATTTTCAAAGGAAATTTCTAGACTATAACATACTTAAGCCTGTTACTTCTCATGGAGGAGCATAGGCCATCCACCAGCAGTAGACCATAACATGCTATTACTATTTACAGATCTTCAGGATGATATAGGCGAACATGTATGATCGTTTTTGATAAGACTTTAATTTATAGATAACCTTTGAGCAATTCTGGCAAAGCAAGAGCAGCATATCTACAACTGAAGAACATCTGGAACTCAAAACAACTGACTGTCAACCAGCACGAAAGTCAGAATTTTCAATACAAATGTCAAGATAGTTCACTGTATGGAGCGGAAACTTGGAGATCTACGAATGCCATCATCCAGAAGATACAAGTTTTCATTAACAGCTGTCTACTCAAAATACTTCAAATCCGTTGGCCAGACACTACTAACAACAACCTACTATACGAGAGAACAAACCATATTCTAGAGGAGGAATAAATCAGGAAGAAGTGCTGGACGTGGATAGGACGCACAATGAGGAAAGCACACAACTGCATCACAAGGCATGCCCTCACATGGAATCCTGAAGGCCAAAGAAGGAGAGGAAGACGAAAGAACACATAATGCCGAGAAATGGAAACGGATATGAGAAGAATGGACAACAGTTTGATAGAACTAGAGAGGAAGGCCCATGACAGAGTGGGTTGGAGAATGCTGGTTGGTGGTCTATGCTCCATTGAGGGTGACAGGCGTAAGTATATATATATATATATATACTAGACTTGTGAAATGATCACTGTAGTTTTTCAATATAGGTTCTAGGGGTTCACGGAGATATTTGAATATTATTTAGATCATGAGGGTGTTCACCTAATGGTTTATAATTGATCGTTAAGCTTAGGAATTAGATTTAAGGTTTGCACCACGATCTGACATCAGCTATAATGGCAAAATTCTATTTAAACAAACGGATGAATGAATTTCGTGCTAAACTTCAAGACCTGTTATCAGCAAAGTGCGTCCAAAACCCCACACCACGGGACTCGAACCCAGGACCTTCGGTCTCGCGAGAGAACGGTATTAATGTCTAACCACAACTAATCCACAAAAATGAGCTGAGAAGTTGCACAATGAACTGGCTCAATGGTTTAGAGATTAAGCGTTCGCATGCGAGATCGAATGTCCTAGATTTGAATCCTGCGAATACACTGAAGTGTCCCATACTAGGATGAAACGACCATCTGATGTTTCCAAGTTTCCTATGGTGATCTAAATTCATTTGACTCATAAATTCAGCTATCAAAATTCATATAAGCTGTCTACAACTGTTGAACTATTACAAATTATCTTCAATGATCATGTTATTATCAAATTCAATAATCAATATATTTGATCCATACAGATCAGATATCATGTGACTTGATCGGTTTATTTTAAAATATTCTCTAAACTATATTCATTATACACTAATTGATATTGCGAATTTTTTTGTATAGAAGATTACTCTATTCTATTCCATTTTAGTTTAAGATCCTGAAACAAAATCAAACCAAAGAATGTTCCATGGATTAGATCTAAACTAAGAAATTAATAATGAAAAAGAAGTGCTTCAATAAATTTCTCAAAGTATTTCATTTAATCCATAGAAAGAAGTATCATCTAAATGAAAATGAATTCGTTTCAGAACATTCTTATGGAATATCTTCTATTAGTCCATTACGAAAGGGTATATTCAATAAAGAAGGATCTATGGATGGGGATGATGGTGATGATGAAGATGAAGATGATGATAACAATGAAATCTCATCGATATTTTCTATTCCAACACAAAGAATGCAACATAATTCATTGAATTCACATCAGAATAAACATGATGTCATTCAATATGTTTTAGGTGATCCTCAGACTATGTTGAATCATTTAACAAAGAAGATTAAACAAAAAATACCACAATTATCTAATAAAAATATAATGGGTAATACTAAAACAAATAAAGTATCTATAGAGAAGTTGAATAACTTGACGACGCCCCAACAACAACATACTACTACTACTACTACTACTACTACTACTACTACTACTACTACTACTACTACTACTACTGGTAGTAGTACTTTTATGAATGGGAAATCAATAAAAGAACAATCCAAGAAGGAATTAAAACCTAAACATATGGATAATGTTAAAACAAATGAGGTCCCTTTAGAGAACTTATATAACTTGACTCCTCCTCCTCGTCCTCAACAACAACATACTACTACTAGTAGTACTAGTACTAGTACTTCTTTGAATGAGAAATCAATAAAAGGATTATCCGAGAAGGAATTAGAACCAAAAATTATGAATAATGTTAAAACAAATGAAGTTTCTATGAAGAAGTTAAATAGCGTTACGACGCCCCAACAACAACAACATACTACTACTAGTAGTACTTTTTTGAATGAGAAATCAATAAAAGGACTATCCAAGAAGGATTTAAAACCAAAGTATATGGATAATGTTAAAACAAATGAAGTCTCTATGGAGAACTTGACGACACCCCAACAACAACATACTACTACTGCTACTAGTAGTAGTAGTACTTGTACTAGTACTTCTTTGAATGAGAAATCAATAACGAAACTATCCAAAAAGGAATTAAAACCAAAACACAATGATAAACAACAAAAAGATAAAATCTCAACGAAAACAATCTCTTCAATACACAAATCCAATAAATCTCATAAAGAGATTGATGAAGACAAATTGAAACGAAAAAAGACGAAACAATCGAATATACATAAACAAATAATAAACAACGAATTGATTGATAAAGCAATGATTAAATCAAATAAGAATGATCCAACTATTCAAAGAGAACATAATACCATTGAACTATTAGATCTAATCCATGATCAAGACAATACAATGAAACAAACTGATGATCTAATCAATGAAGACTTATCTATTGAGACAATTAATAAATCAATAAAGAATGATCTAAATATTCATGAAGAACAAAATACAATTGAAATATTAGATCCAATCAAATCGATTGAATCAATTGACTATCCGATTAATATTACCATGGCAACAATCGATCATATAAATATTCCGTTAGAAACAAAAAATCAATATATTGAAAATGATTTCAAAGGTTTAAAACTATTAAATAATAATATTCTTCATTATATTGATTTAATAGATAATAATCATAAACAAATAGATTATATCATAGAGAAAGAAAACAAAGATAAGCAACTAGAAGGTAACCATGACAACAATCTAGATCATAATGTCTATCCAATCACAAAAAAAGAGAATGGAATTCAAACAGATCAAGAACCTAACGTTATATCAATCTCTAATGTAGATTATCCAAAAGAGATCTCATCTAAACAAATTCATCATATAGAAAAGATAACAAGAGATTATCTTGATAATAATTATAAGAATAAATTAAGAACTATTCATAATGATCAGAATAGATCTATTCAAGAGAAAGACTGTACGCATTGTGAACCATCAAAACACGAATCATCTAGTGAAACCTTCTCATCAAATCCAACTTATTCATCAATATATCATAATGATGGTAAATGTGAATCTATACAATGGTATAATAATCAACCATATCATGATCATCATCATCATCATCATCATGATCATCATTCAATTCATCATAACTGTATGCTTAGGGATTCGACGAAATCTCCACGATTATATTCATGTTATTGTAAACATAATGAATGGAATAATCCATCAAAAAGATTGAATACAAATCAATTGAAACATCAATATGGATGTTACTATGGCAACTCTTGTAAACAGGATCATTTCAATAATTATCGATATTCATATCTTAAACGATATTTATCTCCTCAAACGATAAGATTATTAAAGAAAGAATTAAAGTATAGATTACCATTTCGAGATCGACATTATTTAAATCGAAATGATCAAAATGAATATTGTCAATGTAGTACATCATGTTTACCATCTAAAGAATATGATACTTCTTTGATGAATCTGAATCAATTGACTCATTCTAATATACCATCCAATTCATTTAATCCAATACAACAATCATCATTCATGAATAACATTATAAATCCTATGAATATACCATCATTGTATGGGTTAAATGTACCAATGATAATAACACAACCACGATTTATCATAAGACATATTCCAGTACCAATGATTATTCCACAATGTTCTACTAGAACAATTCAATCAATGAATTCATATCCATTATCTACAATCAATCCATATGTTTATCCGAATGATATAACTTCTAATATATCACAACCAATACATTATGGTCTACCATATTATTAATAGACATGATATGTAAAGTGATCATTAGTGAAATATACATTCAACAGTTATATAGTTTATACCTTTATTAAAAGTGTTTTATGGGATATATTGATGGTGACTGGAGGTAGTTAATAGGAATATCTGGATTTTTGGTATTCATTCACAAGATGTACTTGTTATTTTAAGGGTATTGATGCTGCTTGACAAATTCGATCATGTGTCAACTAGCTTTATAGTCAAAGATGTTACTGTTGTGACGACTTTTACCGGGCTGTATGTTACATGTGGTGTTGAGTGTCATGTATTGTGTATGCGTGAACACCGATTACCACGACGTGCAATGTTGACTAGTGTTGAGGATGGTTGGAAGAAAGTTAGGGGCCATTAACTTCTAGTCTGAGCCATGTTGATGGTAGATGCAGACTACTTGGTTGGAGTCCGCGCGAATATCAGAACCAATGGTGGAGACTCTTGATGATATGGCTCACAATCGATCACAACGGCGTAGGTGTATACACCCTCTGTCTTCTTGTAAACTATGAGATTAAAATTGCTTTATATCTTTCTTTCTATGAACTAATCCTTTCTTCCTGTACTATATCCTTATATACAATCTTTCTGTTATACATTACCATCATTGAATTAACTACTTCTATGAATTTGGTGTTCATCTTGTTGTGCTAATGACGTGTGGCAACTTGGATCGATGCATATATGTGCCTGGTCGTACATTGTAGCTGACTAACTGACTGACTGCTAGTTACATGTGATTTATTCACCAATCGAAATACGACTTATACAATCTTAGTACTATGCCAAACCAGTGATGTTCGACCGGTATGAGCAGCCTACCGTCATTATCGGTCCTTTGTTCGCCTAGTCCATCCGGTTGAGTCCAGAACTCCTATAACAGCTCTCACTATGCGAATCATTTATTTCAAACATAATTGATTTATAAACCAGCCAAACAGATCGCATCACACCATAAAATAGGGAATAACATTCATACAAAATCAAGCCAAAAGTAGCTGTGAACAAGGGACACTGTAATCCATGAACTGAACATAATTTATGAACAGTAAATCGTATTATAGTAATAATCTATAGATCAAAATGAAGCTTATAAAAAGGGGAATGTAGATATATGTAATCTAGTTACTGAATAGTTATACAATAAGAATGTACTGTATAACATTAGTCCATTAATAGTCCTCAGAAGTTACCCGTAGTGTTTAATCTTCACTAGGATTTAACAGTTACAACTAGGGTTGGTCGATAGGATTCGATCTGCATCAAGAAGGATCTGATACATATGACATTAATCACTACCTAGTGATCAATCAATTGTAAATAATTCAGTTAAGCAGTTATAAATAACGTTGAATTTGATACAAATTTAAATCAGTTCAAGGATGTATTAGTACTTAAACTGGATCATAAACTATGACATACAAAGGCAGGTAAAAATACACTTCAACCCAGTAGCTAAGTGGATAATGCGATGACGTTTGAAGCGAACTGCACTGGGTTCGAACCTCAGAGTAAACATCAACAAATCCGGGATGCAGGTACATCCAGCTATGGATTGCCAAATAAGACGAGATGGGCATCCTGGATTTCACTGTTTATAATACTAAATCAGAAATTCACAAAATGAAACCTATTTCTATATGTTCCACCATAGTATGTTAAAGTTGTCGTTGATCACTATCCTCGTCATAGTTTGTTGTTACTCAAAGTATAGTAGTATAAGATTTCTCTATTATAGTCTTACAATCATTCATCTGTTCATTGAATACTTGGCTAGTATTCAGAAATCAGTTGATCACTTTGTAGAGATTCATTAATAACTATATGACTAATCATATTGAGTATAGGGTTTTATGAAGATTATAGATCTTGGCTAAACTATCATTTAAACTATGAAAACTCTTTTTGGTGGTGTTTTGTTCTCTGAGCTGGATGGTTTGGTCGTGGATTTCAACAAGAACCAATCAACATCGAGGTGCACAGGACAAGCTGTGAAACACATATGGAGAAATTCGAGCACTTCACTTCTATCTGAAGTTTTGCGCTGATGATGTCGTTCAGAAGAACGATGAAAGCTCCACGACCAAACCATCCAGCTCAGAGAACAAAACTCCACCAAAATCATCCACCTGAGCTACAAATCTTCTCCACCATATGAAAATTCTATAATCTCAACAAATTCCATACTGATAATTATCATCTACTCATTAATAATTAGCTCCAAGGTGCGATTCATGAAGTTCTAATGAGAATCTGTGACCTGTGAAGTAGGATTATGTTAAGTATGAAATAGACAGATACCTCAGGCAATGGAATGTGGTCGTGCAATATCATGAATTGGTACTAGTTAGGTATATTCACTACAGGATACCAGGTCAGTAGCCTAAAGTCTAAATGTTCACGGGCGAAACTGAGTGTCCTGGGTTAAGACCTTCATAAAGCGATGGTGGATAATACCCTGTTGAGGAGTCTCATTCTTAGACAAAACTATTTATTTGTTTATTTGAACACATAAATATTGTTACAAAGGGCCACCGAATGCATATGCACCACACAAATCACTTGATTTATGTGTGGGCTGTGATACAGGCCGGGTGCCCAGACCGAAGCAGGTGGTTTCCTCAAAAGGCCACACCCAAAACCTTCGGCCTAGAGGTCTGATCCACAAGGCAGTCGAGCAACGTCAGGAGATGCATTTCTATGGTACCCGGTGACCAGCAATTGGTTCATACACCATTTGTTCCCTCGGGATACTGGAGTTCATGTGCACCATTGGTTTGAAATTAGGGTTTTACAACTCCTCAAGGAGGACTCTTCGTGTCCACAAATCCAGTTAAAGCCCGTGCAGGACACTCACTTCTCGTAAAACATGAGTAAAACATGAGAAGACAAAGACGGATCATAGGAAAAGGTAACACCAAGATAATTGACCTTTGACACTGTGTTTATCAAAGAGTCTCCAGTGGCACAATCATTATGGGATCCCAACATGGTGCTTAGGTGTTATTCATGTCTCATACTAAAGTTAACAGCTTGACATTTAGACAGATTATGTATGGGACCATTAACAACAAATCACCATTCAATACAAGACATTTCTATGGGATGTAAAGAGGTAGAAATCGGCATACATACAACAAAATCATCTACATATTTCACAAAAGTGTTTTTTTTTGTGGAAGATGGCAAATTATGCAGAAGTATATTCTTCACTTGTAAGAATGTGGTCCATGCTTTGACAATCTTCGCCATTACATCTGCATCTGATTCTCCTTGTTCATCGATGATGCCTCTCAGGTATGTGAAAGATTTCACATCTTCCAGAGCTTCTTCATCAAATATGATTGGCAAACATTTTCCTTTCTAAACTAGAAAACGGCCCACTGACACAAGAGATCGATAAGTTTTCACTGTACTCTCGATATATGGATGATACATTTATCCTTTGTAACGAGCATACGGACTTGATAAGAACACTCGTGCAATTCAATACAGCTCATCCGTCCATAAAATTCACATGTGAGAAAGAAAATGGCTGTAAAATAGCCTTCCTAGATGTTCTGCTTACAAGGAGAAAAGATGGATTACTAAAAAGAAACATAAACAGGAAAATATACTAACTTTCTCAGTTTCGTTCCTCTACAACAAGGAAGGGAACCTTATTAAGACACTACATCATAGAATCAAGACTATATACACTATGGATACGATTGAAGATGAAACAAAGACATTGTTTACAACCCTGAAGGAAAATGGATATCCGGAGAAATTTATAAATAAAAACTTAGCCAATCACAGACAGAGTAGAGAATGCCCAACGGTAAATAAAAAGCCTCTATATATACGCTTACAATTCAGAGGCGACGCATTGAGTGAAATGTTAAGACTTAAGTTAAATAGATCAATTCAAAGGACTTTTAATGCAGCTAAACTACAACTAATATTCTCCACACGACCAATAATCACTCCGAGGTTGAAAGATAAATTACCTAGACTAGCCACCCCTTTCTGTATCTATCAATTCAACTGCTCCTGTGGTGCAAGTTATATTGGCAGATGTTCTAGAAATTTGTACATTCGGGCTCGTGAACACCTCCCCGTGTGGTTAAGCAAAGGTGTTGTCAAAACTGTTAACAGCTCCATCTTAGACCATTTAGTCCAAACAGGACATACAGCAAACATGGAGTAATCTTTTGCAATAATCTATCGTGTCAACAGAAGTCTACCTAGTTCTGTCAGACCGCGAATCTTACAGACGACTGAAGCAATTACTATTCGGATCAAAAAGCCAGAGCTTTGTATCCAAAAGAAGTATGTTCAGCCACTTCTTTTACCCTGGCCAACTAGTTAATAATCAATCTTATAATACGGTGACGTAATCTGAATAATGTTCACTTTATGTTCCAAACTTATTATTATTATCAATTTTCAATTAGCACTTTCTCTTCTTAAATATTGACCTTGAAAATGGTTTCTTTTTAAAGTGTCCTTGTATATTTACATAAACATTAAAACAATTTTATAAATAGCAAAAGCAGAAATGAAAAGCGCGCGCGCACGCGCACACACACACAGACATGAAAATAGTTTCCATGTTCAATAGGTTTGATTGTTAATCGATTTAAAGTGGAAACACATAGACACCTTCAGTCTATTGATGTGTGTGTGTGTGTGTGCATGTATAGATATGCACAGTTATGTGTGATTTTTTTGTGTTCACCCTACTGGATATTGATTACTTTCTAAACCAATTATAAAATGAAAGATGGGGAAGATAGATAATTGATTGATTTTATTTATGGTGTAAATATCTTGATACAAATTAACCGTTTATAAGCAAAGATGGATAGTAGCTAGCAGTAGAACACAAGACGCTAGTTTCGTCCTATTTGGGACTCGTCAGCTGGATATACCTTCATCTCAGACTTTTTGTTGTTGTTCTTGTTGTTGTTGTTCACTCTGGGACTCAAACCCAATACCGTTTGCTTCAAACGCCATCTCATTATCCACTTAGCTATTGAGTCCTGATAGCCACTTGCTTGTGCAATGGAATGAAGTTGAAATTCACTTGGTGTTTGATTGAGATCATGAACCGATTGATGTTAGACCACCACTGAAAACCTGGAAGTACTGGACGACCGTTTCGTTCTAGTGCTCACTGCTGAGGAGTCCCATAAGAGGACGAAACAGCCGTTCAATGTTTCAAGGTTTTCCATGGTTATCTAGCTTTAATTAACTCATGATCTCAACTATTACAATTAAAAATTAATCTATGATTTCGAAAGGAGTGATGAAATCAAAATCAATGAGATGAGAAAAGTTGCAAGAATGATGTATTAAACTAATGAGGCGTTTTACTAGTTATGGATTTGGCGAATTAGAGAAGAATGGAGTTTGACTTTTGGTCAGTAACCCTGAGATATTTCAGTATATCAACCTGATACTCAGTGTCAAAGAGATATTTTGAAGTAGCGATGCCGAAAGCTTTTAATTTCATTGGTCCAAGACTTTTAGAAATATGCACTTGCAATCAAACATAGGCCTTTCTTTCTGTTCCACTAATGTAACTGCTTTGGTATATAAATTTATGTATGCAGTTGATGGCGACGTGAAAGGAATACCTATGATTCTTTGATCGCAGTTAAGAACATATTATTTCGTTTTTGGCTGAGATCATGGATCAATTGATGTTAGACAGCCATGGAAACTCTGGAAGCACAGAACAACCGTTTCGTCCTAGTATAGGACCCCTCAACAGTGCGCATCCACGGTCCTTCGCGCAGGATTCGGACCCAGGATCTATCGTTCTCGTGCGCTAACGCTTAAGCTCCATTCCATTGAGCCGGCATCCAACGGTGTTAATGTTTAACTTTGACCAACCCACGAAATTGAGCGACCATCTTCCATTGTCTGAGGCAGATACTTACTCTATCTGACACTCGTGAGAGTGAAGGTTCTGTCCTAGGATGAATAAGCAATTCACTGCTTCTGGATAGATCAAAATTCGTTATGAAAGAGGGCAAGAAAGAAGGTAATATCATTTAACTACTTTTGAATTTTAATGGGATGTTTGAACTGATATCG